CCCGACTACTGCTGTCCTTCTCCCAACCATGAGCCAAACTGTCATCCACCATGGCGCAACCTCCCGTCCACTTCCGAATGTTTTTAACATTTTGAAAGCAGTAGCCAATCTTGCCAAACACCAGCCAACCACAATTGACCTTGCCCCTGCCTGCTCCTAACCATGGTTGCGGAGGCCATATTCGGCTATGTTTGACAGAGACTTTACTGGACAGATCGTAACCTTAATGTACACAGAAATCCACGTAGCCCATTCACTTCTTATCTCCCCTTGATTACTACTCATCTTCAATCAGCGTTTCCGTCTGATATATGTTACGACTTACGTCACTATTTTACGGGTTGCCTGAAATATCTAAATCCTGAAGACTAATGGTGACTCGTTAATCTCGGTTTAATCTGTGGTTTAATTTTCTCCCAGTCTAATCCTGGATGGCAACCACAAATCCCACGGGGAGACGGTTGGATAATCGTAACTAATTGAGTTACCGAGTGCTGGTGTCGTTGATGCATTTCTCTGATACGAACCGTTGTGTGATAGGATCAGTCAAACTACCGGAGTCATTTCTGTAGTGATGCTCCAGGCTACAAAGCGTCGTGAAAACAGAGGATTATATATGCGCAGCACGTTGTCAGAAAGTACTGAGTCTGCGCGTAATGTGCAAAAGCACATCGACAGAACGTCTCGTTTAAGGTAGTATTCGGGTATTCAAGGACACCCTATCTATAGTTTTCAAGTGTTGTGGTGGAATTTCTGCAACTGACAAAATTCTGATGCTACGTTGACCAAACATCCAATAAAAATCGTGGTTTTGGGCAGGGACAGTACGTTCTGCCAACGTGGTTAAATTCACCACTTTAGTGTTTGACGCAGCCGACCAGTAGCCGAACACTCACGATCACCGACCTTGTTCCCAACCTACTCCAAACCAATGTTGTGGGGAGTTCGAATAGTACTCGTGAGGCCATATTCTGCTGTGTGTGACAGTGGCTTTACAGAGTAAATACGCCCTAGATGCCACCCACTAGCTTGGGAGATACACGTTACGACGCCTCACATCTCCCGCAGCAAAGTTTCCATCCTTGAAAACCTCCCAAACATCAGCAGCAGTTCGATAAATGGGAGGCCTGGGAGACAGGTGCCACTTTGCGATACAATTGTGTTCCATTACTGAACCTGCTGCCCATTACGCACCGAACCAAACTCGGCTGGCTTATTTATCTCGAGTAGACATGTACCAACTTTTTCGATTAAGACTACTTTTTTTATTCGACGTACAAGCTAAGAGAAGAGTTTTTCTTGACTGATTGATGGTTATAATATTGCTGTTATGTGATTACTATGATTAACGAAGGAAAACATGTTTTTTTTTGTTCTGTTTCTTCTTCCGTTCCAAACACTGACCTCTGGCCTGGTCAATGACCTGATTCATACAGTGTATCACCATGGTAACTGGTGTTGGGTTACATAATGTTGCAATTTTATAGCAAGAGGGATTTAGACTCCTGTCACCATATATGTGAATGTGTTTCAGTAAAAATCAACAGAGCAGACCATATGCGAACGGTAAACATTATGCATTTGCTTTACAGTCGTTACCTTTCTACTTATAGAGATATACAGACATGCAGCAGCCAGGAATTTAGCACGCACGGCAATATGACTTTTCATTTGCATGTATGGAACGACATACAGGACGGGGGTGTTTAATTAGTCCCTTTCAATACCTAAAAATACAAGAAAAAAACAAATCACGTCATCTTGACCACAATAACTGATTATATATCGATCTCCGTGAGTTACAGCTGCGAACACATAAACACGGGCGAAAACAGAAACTAGTGCCTTCTCGCGGAGGTAATAATAAGGAAAGGGAAAGACTTGCAGATCTACCTGTGATATATTTATAGAACAGTGACCCTTTTATAGTCTTAGTCTACTCCGAACACGTTCCATTACAAGGAGCTGATATTGCCTGTCTCTACTAGAAGCTCTCTCTTCCTTATCTTGTCTTAGTAGAAGCTATTTTGGGCGAGTCAAGTGAGGACGGGTCAAGAGCAATCCTGATTACCAGTGCAGAATGGTAATGAATTATGTGCAGCTCGTACAATGCTGGAAGACATTTTGAATGTTGTAGAAGGATGGGAAAATAAGTGCTACACATTGATGCACATCAAAAGACAGTCAAACCTGCCCAAAAGGGCCAAGTAAAGACGTGTAAAGTGGGCTTCTTGAAAAGTTAACCTTCCTGGGACAGGATCCAAAATGCTTGCGGCTAATGAACAATGGTTTCGGACTGCTTGACTCGTGGTTGTTAGGAGGTCAGCAGTGGTTGGGTCGCGTTTGGCACTCAATAGAACTCAAACTAGATACGATTCTAGGCGTGGCCCAAATCTGGTCAAACCTTGGGGAAAGGTGCTGAATGTGTGACAAAGGCTTTAAGGCAGTTAATCATGTGTGTGCATCTGTGTCTTGTATGCATAGTGGTCAGCCTAGCCATCCATCCTGTACCTCTTATCCTGTCCATCTGTGACGCCGCCCGACCTAGCTCTCAAGACGGTCCTACATTAAATGGTGCTGGATCAATAGCTTTCAAGCTGCTTTTGACGACAACCCGTGGAGGAGGAGCAAAGGATGTTGCTATATTTCACTGTTTGCCCTGCCGTTGGTGCATCAAAGTGTCAGCCTTTACCCTAGATCTTACCGTAGACTATGAGCGACCATGGAAGGTAGATCTACCCGATTTTACAGAAGAGTCCACACTTTGTTGTTTATCATTGCCCGTTACTTTCCGGGTGAGTCGCTCGCTCTTCGTGTTAGCTTGCTGACATGTATGATAGATGAGTTGTTTATGCCGGCAAAACCCAGGGCGACTGCATATACTTGTAGAGGATCAGGTAGAAGTAGGATACGCCAGCCAGCGACATGTAAGGATTACAGGGCATTTCTAGTACACGCATGAATCGTTACAGTTTAAGCCCGAGGCTTACGGTTGAAAGTCTTCCAAATACATGTCGTCTCATGATTTTGCTTTTTTTCTACTTTATCTACTAGTATTAGGATTACAGAGCAATGCTAGAATACGCATGGATAGTTACTGTTTAATCTTGAAGCTTCTGGTTGAAATTCTTCCAAATACATGTCTTCTCATGATTTTACTGGGGTAGATCAGGAATTTGGTTTATTCCCGTATCAAGAGTCCTTCTTTTTTGTTTCTCTACTTCAACTACTATTATGATTGCAGAGCATTAACACGCATGGGTCTTTACCATTTAATCTTGAGGCTTCTGGTTGAAAGTATTTTTTCCCACTAAAGCTCAATCTCCCACGAAGACGTATGCAGCGGCAATACCCATAGCTATGCGTGGGAGTATGATCAATTGTTACTCGAAACAAAATTAGGTCAAAGTTCCAGATGGTATGACAGCAGTGTCTTTTTAAGACCAGATCAACTCAAATGTACACAATGACTGAGCGTGACATGGCCTATATCATATACATCTAGCATCATTGCATGTCCCTCCATCTTGTAGATCGGCAGTTGAAAGTAACAATAACTATAATATGTAATATATTGTGTCAAACCACACATTTCGAGTGTACTTTATTGATAGAACAGATAGATCTAGACGATTGCCCAGGAGAAATCTGGGTTACAAACGGCTCCGTGACCCCCGGTGTAACCTGCTCGCCCTGCTGAGTAGGTACAAAACGGAAGCCGGTGACGCGGGAGGTTAATGGAGCGATGAGTATCAGCAGTAAATCAGCAGTGGCCCTGCCCGCACTCTCACAAATCAAAAAAAAACGCATTCCCAACCAATAATTTCCTTCAGCTCACCCACTGTTAGCCCATATCCAATCCCGACTTTCCCCATAGGTGCATTAAGACAGTCATCGCAGTCATAAACATGGTTGTGACCAGACGCGTTTGTCATTAAAAAGAGTGGGGAGTGCAGGAAAGCACACGTCTTCACGACGGGATAGACATAAAGTCGTTCTTACATGGGGGCACAGTAAAACACATTTTACATTAAGTGGTATCGGGGTGGAGGATGACTGAGTGGCATCTCGCAGTTCTGCATGCGACCTGTTCCATTAGTTTGTGAATTGATAACCACGGGTACCCCGGGTGTGAGAAGATTTTTACAGTGGCGGAAGCAATTGTCCTAGACTATATTTCAAGTAGAAGCATAACATTATGTTAGAACATGGTAACATACCAGTTTTCAATACATTCTGTACTCGTTGTAAGTTTGCAATTAGTTATCGGGCATGATCTTTCAATTAAGAACTTTCAGTTTTATTCTTGTATCATTTAAAGAATCATACCACTTAAACATCAATGAACATATGGAAAGCACCTGGAGATACTTTCGTATCTGACTGATGAGTGAGCTAGACTTTACAAGACCTGATTATAATCATACATAAAATAAATGAAAAAAATCTATAATCTTTTGTTTGCTTGACTAGTAGTTGTTGTTTTGTACATGGTGCTCTTTTGCATACATTTCACAATACAGCATCTCAGTGTATCCCTTCAATGGTGTGTTCAGTTCAAGTATACTATGTAGTACTGTCTTGCTTATTTTGGTCTTCATCCCTTGAGAGGCATAAGGTCATACGTTTAGCAGTTAACTAGGGCTTTTTGTTCTTCCTATCCTTCCATTCAAAATAACACCACTGCAGGTACGACATAGCAAAGAAACAAAAAGGACGGACAGCAATCGAAAAGATTTTAGCCATTGAAATTCAAATGTCCATTTTAGCAATATTCACAGACATTCAGACACAGCAAAATGCTCTGATACAAAATACTGCTGTCCTACATATAATCCATCTGTCTGGGAAGATGTTGTGTGGGTCAATGTCTGGCTGGCCTGCGCGACTATTATCGATAGGGTTACTTTACAGATAGTATGTGTGTTGACCTTAGACTTGAAAATATCTATTCCCAGTAAGCTTCGAAATCTCTAATTTCTTGTGTTGTGTTGGTACAGTGCAATCCAGGAATCGGCACCAATGTGATGTACCGTCTGGTCTACCATCCACCACCTAAACTCATGTTACTGACCGGCTGCAGTAGTGTGTCTACACACATCGCCGAGGCCGCACACATGTGGAACCTCATGGTTGTAAGTACCCCCCCCCTCCCCTACACTACCAGGTGTTACTGGTTCACTGTGCAGTAACACCTAGCTTCAGTGCACAATGAACCAGTAACATCTTGCTTCAGTGCACAGTAAACCAGTAACACCTAGCTTCAGTGTACAACGAAGCAGTAACACCTAGCTTCAGTGCACAGTGAACCATTAACATCTACTAGTAGCTTCAGTGCACAGTGAACCATTAACACCTAGCTTCAGTGTGCAACGAAGCAGTAACACCTAGCTTCAGTGTACAACGAAGCAGTAACACATAGCTTCAGTGCACAGTGAACCAGTAACACCTAGCTTCAGTCTACACCAGTCATAGTTTCCAGATGAAGATGGCAAACGGTCATCAAAACGTCGGCTTTCGTAAAACAAGTGGTTATGAATAAAGAACTTTGCCATTCAGTCATTCACCAACCTAATGAAGTTGTTTATGGACTGAATAAACTTTATTTACAATCAACTTTCCCCAGTGCTATTCTACATGTACTTATCCGCCGGTCCCAGGTGCATTTGATGGTGGCTATAACATTATCATCGATTTCACGGTCGTCAACCGTAGTTACAACTATAAAACTAGGCCATTTAACTTCTACGCTGCCGATTTGAAAAAGGCTAATAATGTTGATTTGTGATCACAGTGACCACTTCATCCCGTTTTATCGTCCGAAACCCTATTAGTATGCACGGCAGCAAAGTTCCTAAATGAAAATAGTTCATTTTTTCTTGTAGAGCGGTGTGCATAGATTAAAGGATCGTACGACGTAATGAATTTGTATTCTAAATGCCTTCTGGTTGCCATTATAGGTTGCCCATATAGTTACGCATTAAGTAAATGGATTAAGGGGAAGCTAATTTTATCTACTGGTCCATGTCGAAAATATTGTGCAGGGCAAGAAAACGTGGTAATAATAAGGTTGTTACGAAGGTTTTACCTTCTGAATACTCCTGGAAAAGTCGTTATCGTATCCGTAACCCTACCTTTATAGTTCTGTAACTGAATGGCTTAACGTACGGATCAGACACGGTTCTATCTGGGGAGTCTTTGCGTATCCGAGAAGGTCGATTTTGCCCCGGACACGGTTGTGGATACGTGTGGACTAATCAGAACCATGCCTGATCATGATCCTGGATAAAGCACGGTTCTAGATAGAACAGTTTAATCAAAGACATTTATGTGAGATCTGGCCTAGTCTCCACCAGACTTACAACGAGGATTAAAACAAGTCAAATTTAGCCAAGTAGGGAGAATAATTTGCCTGGGGAGATTAGCCTCCCGCGGACTGACCCCTTTGGTGATCGATTCATTGCCCTTTTTTGGCGAATACTATGATCCGTAGTGAGGCCTGGTGGAGGCTTGATCTGACCATGGCTTCTTCCGGTTCTCTCCTCCCAAGCTCGCGTATGGTTCCAGCTCTCCGGCCCTGTCAGACCGGAAACGGTTCCGGACATTTTTCCGGACTCACCCGTCTGCCGTGCTCCACAACCAGGCCCGGATCCGGATGTTCCAGTACTACCGGTGGTCTAAGATCTCCATCATACAGGAGACACAGGAGGTCTTCACGTCGGTGGGTCCCTTTTTTTTACCTCCATTAAAGATGGATATTTTCTTTCTGTGTTTGAGTACATATGTGTGTGTCCATGTGTGTGAGAGTGTTTCCGCATGCACATCCACGCCATACGTTACACTGTTTCACCAATGACTCCTGTCACACATTCAGAACCATCCCCAGACCACCAATCACACCACGGTTGGCTGAAGCTCGGGAGCAGTCTGACCAGATGTAGGCCACGCCGCCCGACCTCTGCTGACCTACTCCCAACCACCAGCCTACCATGGTCCAATCTTCCGCCCAGACCTGAATGTTAAACATTTTGAACATTCGGCTCGCACACCACTCAGCCACAGCCAACTTTGCTCACGCCCTACTCCTGACCAATTTGTTGGGGGGAGTTCGGCTCTAGTGTTCGGATGGCCATTTTCGGCTGTGTGTGACAGGGTCACTGAACACATCTGAACCCCTATGTATAAAGATTGCGCGACCACTCCACCCCTGTAGCTTCAGATTCATTGTATCAATTTTCCAGTCAATTTACCAACTGCACCTTGAATTGCTTGTTTCAATTTCTTGGCTCAGTGATTCGTACAGAGCTTTACAGAGCAGTAGCCTTTATCAGGTACATGTATCATCAGTCGCAATAAAAGAAACACTAAACATCAAGAGTGGATCAGGTGAAAAACGTTGCTTCCCTTTCAATGTGCCTATCTTTACCATTCACTTGGCGATCACTTAAGCCCCTGTCACACATAGTCAAATATGGCCTCCGGAACACTAGCCAAATTCCCCCCAACCATGGTAATAATTTGGAGTTTTGTGCGCAAGGTTGGGTGTGGTTGGATGGTGTTCGACGAGGTCGGCTACTTTTCGACTTCGCCAGCCGAATGTTTCAAAATGTTTTTCTGTGTGGACGGGAAGTCCGACCATGGTTGGCTGATGTTCAGGAGTAGGTCGGGGCGTGGTTGGTAGTCAACTTTGACTCAAATTCAACTCGATTCGATTTGATTCGTATAGAAAGGTAGACGTTGCCTAAACCTGATCAGACTGCCTTCGAAGTTTAGCTAACCTTGGTTGGTTGGTGTTGGTTCTGAATGTGTGACAGGGGCTTTAACGACAACACCAGCAGTTATATCTTTATCCCATATTATAAATTCTTCTAATAGTTGAAACTTTTTCTATCTCTTCATCTGTTGTTTATTGCTGCGGTGTTTTGTAGCAATACTTCCTTCATGTTAACAACATCTACTCTATAGAAGCCTCTGGAATTACTCTGACCTCACATAAGATTAAAGAGAAGCAAAAACATTTGTCAAAGTGTGTCGAAATATATTTTCCGCCGCCTTACAATAGTAGAGTATATTATGAATGTGTGTTAGAAGGCTTTTCAAATCAAAGTGTACGGCTATGAACGAATGCCTGTAAGTATTCGTATTGATTGTCGGCTGCCAGTGTGAATCCATGCGGGCTACAAAATCACAACTCGCAGCCTCACATATTCACCAGACTGTAAAATACTTTTCCCCAGTACAAAGCTGGTAGAAATCAGCGTCGTCTATCAAAATATAAGTACAGCCCACGGCATCGTCAATTTCAACACTTTACGGGCGCTACTTGATAGCATCGGGCTTTCAGCAACTTTTTTTTCAATATCAGCGGATTGTTCCATTACGGAATTGTGATATGAAATCAGCTGCATACAATTTATAATCAAGTCTGCTTTATTATTACCATCGCAAACCGATTTGATGTGTCTGATCTTTTCATACGTTCCCAGCGACGTGGATAGAAGTCAGAGTCAGTTACGTGAGATGTTATTTGATATTGTCCAAATATGAATGCAGTGGGATATGAAATACATTTTATTAGATATTGCATTCACTGCGAGACCGGCAGAAAAATATCACTTCAAACAGCTTCTACAAATTTCCCAATTCTACCATTCAGAGGATATCATCAAAATACTTCGTTTCTACTTAAGCTTACAAAACCCACTCATTATGGCAGTGTTCATTATCCACTGCCTTCAGAGAACTCATACCCCTTAATAGTTGACGTAGCACATCAAGAGTCAGATAATAGCAGTATGTTCTCTATTACTTTACTTTTACTCTCTTTGACACCGTACATGCAATTAGCCTTCGGCCATGATTTTGCAATATTTTATGTATTCATCAACATCTGGTGTATACTTTCTGGAAAGCCGATTATGTGTGTTGTTTTACTGGTAGCCCCCGTTATTCGACCATTATTCGTATGTCTAAGGCTCTACTCTAAAAGCTAACTGTCGCTAAGCTTGTCAAATATCCCCCGTTATATAGACCACTATGTACTAGAACATCCATGGAATAGAATAATCTTTAAGCACATCTTAAAGCATGCATAAAGAAGAAACTGAAGCCAAACACATTTTAAGGTATCCTTAAAGAATGGAGTTTATGTAATGATTCAAACCAAACTATTGACCTAGGTCTCTAATCGCCAAGTATTTTAATACCGTCTGCTCAGGTAACGTTTATTAAAAAAAGTAATGACTTCGCAAGTAATAACATTAGAATAAACCCAGACGGGTGCCAAGAGAATCATCAAGCTCCAAAGGGTATTGGAAGTACAGATTACTTCATATTTAGGACAGATTCGAAAGATATAATGTACCATAACTATAACGCATGCCGGCAACTGCTGACGACTGTTTTATATTCAGCACTTCCATTCGGAATGAATCACGCGGCACATGTATACCATGCAACCAAACAACTCCCATACATCTTCTAATCACTTACTAATACTCTATTTTCCCAAAACACATCATTCAGGTAGACATGTTAGAATTAGATGTAGACATGTTGAAAGTTCATGTAGACTTGTTACAGCTTGCAACTCATCTCACATTCTACGGTACAACCACCCTGAGCAATCTTAACTGTGCAGCTGGGATCGGCTTATTAGACACATGCCGCTGGCTGGCAAGATTGCTCAATGTCAAGTGCATAAAAACTGAAGGAAAGTGTACGCTCCGTGATAAGACAGCTGGGGATATAACGACATTCATCTTTACTACCCGTTTCAAGAGATCAAGAAATACATATCTCAGGCTCTGTCTGGAACGCTGGCGTTTCTAAATACATATTATAGTCTCTCTTGCAACTACTAGAAGTACACTGCCAGCCCAATTGTATACTTTTGACGTATGCTAGTTATATGTACGCACTTATCTGGTAAATGTTTTCTTTTTACAGACCATTGAGGACCTGGAGAAAAGGGCTAAAGAAGCTAACATCACCATAGCTACCAGACAGAGTTTCCTGTCGGACCCAACAAATGCAGTTCGTAGCCTCAAGGTGCGTTAAGCCCACACATTTAGAACATTCCCTCGAACACCAGCCGACCAAGTTCGTGAGCAGTCTAACCAGATTTAGCCCACGCCTACTTTTTGCTACGAATCAAATCGAATTTGAGTTAAATCTGAGTCGAATTTGACCACCAACCATGCCACGACATACTCCCGAACACCAGCCTACCATCAGCCAACTATGGCCTAACCTGCCGTCCATCCCCGAATGTTTAAATCATTTTGAAACATTCAGTTGGCAGAGCCGAGCAGTAGCCGACCTCGCCGGACATCCGCCAACCTTGTTCCCGGCCAACTCCTAACCATGGCTGTGGGGAGTTCGGCTTGTGTTCGGGAGGTCATATCCGGCTATATGTGACGGGCGTTACAGTCTACGTTTTGGGTTGACTGTTGACTGACGTCGACATACGGCCATTTCTGTCCAACTAGCCGGTGGCTATTCCAGTCCTTGCTTCTTTGGGACATCTATATTCAAGGTTTTCTTTCATACCCCATAGCTATACATATCCTTTTGCAGTTCATAATAGTCCTGTAATGCGTCTAAGGGACCACTCAGCCTTTGTTATTGAGATTGGAAAGCGACTGAAGAGTGTGTGTTTGCAAGGTGCTATGACAAGATTCTGGTAATGTTAGGATAATGTTAGTCTCTTGTGTGTGTACTATATTCGCTTTGCTGGAATCCCTAATGGAGTTGGGTTTGACTTCAATAAAACTACCAACTTGAAGGTAAAGGGGCGTTTTTGCTACCGCTAGACGAGTTTCGTTTCATATATCTTCACTTGTGGTACTGGTGGCTCTGGTGTTTCTCAACACATTCACATCCTTCGCCGACTACCAAACAACCAAATTTGACTGAAGTTCTGGAGTATTCTGACAAAATTTAGGCCACGCCTACGTTTCCATACAAATCGAATCGAATTCAGCTTAAATCATTAGATAGCATTAAACAATGTTTAGTTATATGTTCAAGGGCTAGGTGTAACAAGTTGTTAGGTGTAATGTAACCAGCTGCCGCCGCGTCGCGTGCCTGCGAAGGTGGTGTATTACAAGGGTTAAATGCATGGTACTCACACTCAGAACTACATGCTTGTCTTGCAGCGCCAGGATGCTAGAATCATCGTCGGCGTTTTCTATGAGGACATGGCTTTGAAAAGTCTTTTGTCAGGTGAGGCGACTCAAACATGTATGCTAAACGTTTCATCATTCACTCGTATGTCTCACATTTGCCAATAACCCACAATAATGTGTTCTCTTCTAGTATTCTCAGAGCATTTCTATGCATTCACCATATAACAACAAACATATTGAGGGGCTAAACATAGATAACAATAGCATGAAAGTTTATCTGCATGGACAAATTACATAATGGAAATTAAACTGTTTTCTAAAAAGTAATTGACTGAAACTTCGTAAGAATATCTTGGACTTCCTCGGATATCTTACCAAGTGCTCTAGACAAGTGATTTTTTGCACGCGTGACGTCAGCGCTGGGTCGAATTTTATCGGAAGTTGGTACCGCCCCCCGTCTCTGTTATAGATGACAATAGTAACTCTCTGAGTGCCTGCGTAAGCTATTGCCAGTAAAAGTTATACTATGTTGCCTATTTCTATTCATGCGTTATGGGAGTCCGTTCACAACTCACAAGGGAGACATATTCCAAACGCTACGTACGAGCCGTTTACATTCCGACCCTTAAAATGACACCGTCCATCAGGAGATATACGCTTGTGACCCGACCTACTAAAACTTCACAAGATAAGACGAGAATCTATGGCTTTACGTCCGTGTTGGGATCCATTTCCCAGCAAATGGGACCGGAAAGGACCCATTTTGAAGACCAGCCTTTTGGAACAGATAACGTTTATAGCGAGCTAGCTCAATTTGTATAATGGTAAACTCAGAATAGTAAAGAGGAAAAAATAAAAAGGGAAGGATTCTAACCCAAGGTCAAGGGAGGTAGTGTCCGTTGGGTCGGTAGGTAAGGATTCCTTTTTTAGTTTCCGTTCGAAGTTATGAAACAAATAGAGCACTTCAGATAGAGCAACCTCCGTTTGCATACGTGGACAAATATTTCAACCGATTCAATAAAAGGATTTGCCCGTTTCAGCGGGTCTGAAATTCAGGTGTCAAGTTGAAAACTTTAAGGTCTTGGCAGAGGTCGACTCCCCCCCCCCCAAAAAAAAGGGCTGGGTAGGCTGATTTTTGCTAGGGTCGGTCGGGAGAAACCAGAAACACAACATTTCTTTGCCCAGGCCGTACCTGTGAAGTCAGTCGTGTCACAATTTCTCTTTACAATGAAAGGGTTTTCTTTATTTCGGTTTGATGGGTCCAATCCAATTGTTATGATACTAAATGTAGTAAAGTTTCTCTGTTAAGTTTGAGGCTGACTTTAAAACTCATACTGACAAGCTTCTAAATTGATGACGGCTTGTCATAATGGGCCTGTGAGTAAATATTCTCAAAGGCGTTTTGCTTCTAATCAAAGTTATAATAACTTTAAAAGTAGTTGTGACATTATCGGTTACAAATACTCTCTAACGCATCGCGTGATGATAATTAGCTGTACAATTATCAATGTGTGCGAACAGATAAGTGCAATGATTGATACGTTACAATATGAAAGCTTATGTATCATACTTGTTAACTTACATATGTGTTTTCTCTTCTTCCTTGTAGTACAATATTAATCTGTTGTTATACTTTCTGCAATAAAGTGGGGAGGGGGCTTTCGTTGTCATAGACGCCAAATACATGTTTCAAACCGTAATATATCTATAAATCACTGCTTTAACTCTCTTAACAGTCATAAAATCAAAATTAGAAAACTCTCCTACATTATGATCATAAAGAATATTTCTTTCAATAATCCTTAGGTTTACAAGGAAAAGATGTACGGGAAGCGGTATGTGTGGTTCATCATCGGCTGGTACCCTGACAACTGGTACCAGAAAGTGGAGGACAACGACGTCAACTGTACAGTAGCCCAGATGAGAGAGGCACTGCAGGGGCACTTCACTACCGAGATGACCATGAGATCCCTGGACGATACTCCCAGCTTCTCTGGACTGGTCAGATGTTCTCCTAAGGCATATTTTTTATAAAAACATATAACGGCATATTAAAAATGAATTTGACGCTGCTTTGCACCTGATCATGGTTTTGCACCTGATGATGGTTTTGACATATCAACGTGCATGAATGACTTTGTCGACGTACAAATTATTGTTAAATCACAGCCTCATGCCATACCACGTATTGTTTTGTTAGGTAGATTGGATGAGTATATCATATAGTGGTAGATACTATACGTTGAAATTTCTATCAATTAGTGTCAACGTTTTCAAAGTTCTAAAATACTGCAACTTTGTGATGGAGTCGTAACAGTTGCATAATTTCTCGCCGTGTATATTTTATGTGACTACTGCTCACGGTGGTCTGTCACTACGGTATTCTTTCCCATTGCTAGGCGCGTTCTAAAAGGTATCGGGTTACAAGACGCTATTTTGGCCGATTTTGGCCTACCAGTAAAACACTTGAAAATAAACAAAAAGGATTTAATGGTAAATTTCGTCAAATTAAAATGAAATTATTGCCTTAACATCCTTTCAATATTAATTTTTATGTGAAATCATTGATTTTTCAAAATTTCGCTCCGAAAGACGATTTTTTTCGGGTTTCCGACCACAAGTCATGTCATGTTTTTAGGCAAACATCGTTTTAACCTGGCTACGTATATTACCCCAGATTACCGATTTTTATATTTTTCGACGACTAGGAATAAGATCAAAAATCGTGTTTTAGGGATTTTTTAATTTCTGATTTTAAGTCTAGTTTTTGTCGACATATTGGTGAAAAAATTATTTGTTTTTACATTTTTCGCACTAAATTACCCATAATTCAAAATTGAGGCCATTTTTCAAAAATCCCTAAAACACGATTTTCGGGACAACCGTTACGGTCATTTTGAGCCGTGAATGGGGTATGCTTGACTTTCCATGCTTGCAGGTTAAAACGAGTTTTGCAGACATGTCATGTCGACCAAAAGTCTGCATTGTGTTATTCATACTGGCGTAAAGAATCATTACCATATTCAAGGTCACCCAAGGGTACGACAGTAGCTTCGCTACATGTTACATGTCCACAAAAAATGATAGCGGACATGTACTGTCCTGGAAACTGTTTGTATTTATAGAAAAGTGTTGTTTTTTATCTGTTGCACGGCACGGAGGCAGAAAGGCTTGTTTTGCCGCTTCATTGTAAATGACCGCAGGTGACCCCGAAATAGAACGCGGGTTCGATTCGAATTGCCCAGATCGAACACGATCGAACACCGTTCGGATTCTATGGCATGTGGGAACTTTGCAACCCAGATTTTACCACCGTGGCTGGGTTGGAAGTAGTGTTTTGGGTGATGCTGGTTGGGGGGGGGGGTATATAGTTTTGTCTGTATCTATAATGATTATTTCCCATGTTGATGTAATACAATACAGTTGAAATATAGTCGCAAAATACTCGCCGCAAGTATGAAATGTCCGATATCGTATACAGAATGTGTCACGGTTCGATGAAGAGTTGCTAGACAAGCTCAACAACAGCGACCCTAACGACACGCCAGGCTACCCCGAGGCTCCCTTGGCGTACGACGCAGTGTGGGCCCTGGCGCTGGCTTTGAACCAGACTATCACCAGGCTTACAGAGAAAGGAGTCAATGTGGGCCTGGACAAATTCACATATGACAATAGGTGAGAACATTTTCTACCATTATTAGCTGTAACGCCTTGTGTCTTGAGCTAAAATAATAATAACCTTTATTGTACATTCATGCCCTATCGGGCTAAGTACAGGTGAACAGATGAAAGGGTAATATACATGTTTGTAGAACAAATAGCTCTAAAACCACACTAATACAAAGGTTTAGCTTCTTCTCGTTCTGAGCTAAGATAACATGATAACACTCATTAATATATAACATTTTTTGTGTTGTCGTTTCTTCTAATCAAAACAGGTGTATGCCTATTATACGTCACGTATATATTTATAATTGATTGGAGAAGTAGTCTGGGCAAGTAGTCTGCTTTGCTACTTTGTTAATTTATGCTATATATGTTTGGGAGTGAATGAGTGGATATTGTGTTTCATTCGATTGATAGGGTCTTCACGTGGTATCGCCTCGAACGTATGAAACATAAACCACTGTATGATAGCGGAGTAACTTTCATCATACAACCGTATAATAATTCATTCTATGATGTAATTCATTAACGCAAACTATATGTACATCCCTGGAGTTTGATATCTCTGATCTTTTTTTTTTGTTCTTACAGTACTATATTCCGTGAATTTTACCGTGCCATGGACTCTACGTCGTTCCAGGGAGTCTCGGTGAGTGTCCGGTTATACATAAGGCCACAGCAAGTAAATTTTATGGCTGACATCCACCACATAACTCCAAATCTAATGCGATAGAGTGACAAAAAACAAGGCAGGCAAAAAAATTCGTACATTTTCAAATTTTGACATCATAAACCTTGTTAAACGAGAAATGATGCATATATTTTGCTAAGTTTACTGCCAGCTTTTACACCATCCATCTATCACTGAAACAAGTTTGAAATATTAGTTTTCAGTCATTGTACAAATGGTTTCGTACATCAATTTTATAGCAGTAAAAGAAAAACAAAAACTTTTGTCCTGTCTCCTCTTTTCATGGTTATCTGCCATCCATGTTCCGACATGGCAACAGACATCTTTGTCTTTTTCTTTAGGTGTCCAAAATCAGGCGAAAATTATTGCGCGCGTAGATGTCATCCATAAAAATTACTTACTGTGGCCTAAGTACACATGTCACATTTTTTATTGAACATGACTGTAATAATGGTAGTTCGCTCGAGGGTGACGGCAGAGGGGTATTTTCCATCCATCAGCTACGGTCCTGTAACACCTGTATAAATGAATAACAGCCTTTTTGGACTTACATAACATGCAAACGACATAGAGACTAAATATTCACCTCCTGATGACTTTGAGAAAACCTTTGATGCCTTTGATGAAACCTTCACACACTGTAATGCTACGCCTTAACCTCAGTATTTCATGCAGAGCCAAATGCTGAGATCTTACACACAAGACTCAGGCATACATGCATTTCATTTCGTGACATATTAGACAATGAAAAACGTATCCGGCGCTCGGTTGCAAAAAAATTTGATCGCACGTTTCGATCAAAACGCGGAGATCTGTAAGCCGTCCCTTTGAATTCCGTCTAGAGTCTGCGTCAGCTGAAAATGATAGATCCCATTAGAATCATCACCTTCGTGATCGGCATATTAAACACGAACTTGACGCTGCTTTGCACTTGATCATGACTTTGACACTTGAATGAAATGACCTCGTAGGTACATATTAACGTGCATGAATGACTTTGTCAAAGTCAGGCTGTCAGTTTTACCCTTTTCCCTGGGGTAGCGTGTATAATCTCCCGTGACCTGCGTGTTATACCCTTATGCGAGGTTAAACTGTACTTGTCATTTTGTCAACCCAGCCTGCCTCGGCGGCCCTTTGTACAGAGCCGTTATATCAGCTATCAAAGGGAATAATTCATACAGCGGCCATGCGATGCTTTGAATCACAAATCATTTGTACTGAGCCAGGATTCGTGGCTTATTAGGGCTCGTGCCCAACGCCGTAGAACGAACCTGTATGTACATAGAGAAAAGACGAGACGACATAAATACATACACATGACAAAGATATATGATATCTAACCACAGAGACATGCTATCATCATGGAGCACGCTCTGCTCAATTTACCATTAGCTGTATTTTGGGCACATTAAAGTCAACGTCACTTTGATCTTGGATCCCCCTCTGAGTCTTTATGCCCCACTAGATTATGCAACGACTCTGTGGTATAAATACTTAAGCAACAGAATGCTTCACTGCTTTTTTACACCTAACAAAAAGTTTCACCCTCAATAACTGAACAAACTTGACTGTTCAATAAAAAATGGTCATGGTAAACTATGTATGGAGTTGTAATGACGCTTAATTGAGACAGTTTTTTAACCTCTTTCGCTACAACGCGTATGGGTACACCTGTAGAGGCTGTATGTAACCAAACTGAGATAGCTAGTTCGTGGCACGCTGTTTGGTTTACTAATTCCTGGAAAACTTAATCATGCACATCAACATTTGGTTTAATTCCTGGAAAACTTCTCCATGCGCAAAAACATTTGGTTTAATTCCTGGAAAACTTCTTCGTGCACATCAATATTTCTTTTAGTTCCTGGAAAACTTTTTCGTGCACATCAATATTTCGTTTAGTTCCTGCAAAACTTCTTCGTGCACTTTCCAGTTTAGTTCCTGGAAAACTAATCCATGCACATCAGCAATTGGTTACTAATAGATTGTTGGAAAACTTGTTCATGCAGAACCTCGTTTTTCATCAAGTTTGGCCAAACGTATGCGTACCATTTCAGACTTCATCGATCAAAGTCGTCGGCAGTGAAGATGGATGCAGTGAAGGCGTGTTATGTGTCTGCCGTGTCTGTTATGGATATGATATCAAATATCACGATACCGGCGTACTTGAGTTCATCTTCAGACCGTACTGATTTGGTTATGTCTCCTCTCTTCATATATATTTGCCATCCACGTTCAGGCATGGCAACAGACATCTTTGCTCTTCGTGGCCTTATGAAAGAACTGACTAACATGCCTGTGGCTATATCTGACAGGGTCCTGTACAGTTCCTGTCTACTGGAGACCGCCTAACTCTGACGCAGATCGAGCAGATGTGGGGTAAGGAATCATTTTACTTCTGCAGTACCAAATGCTTGTGTGGTTGACAGGGGGCGTTCGTTTATGATCTCTCGCGATTCGTCACAGACAGTCGTACTTAGGTGTAGGCTGTGACAGAACGAACCACTAACAATGATTTTAACACAATCTTTTCGTTAACAAGACAGATGAGTCTTGTCCGACTCAAGCACGACTATCACAAGAGAAACTTCAGTTTGCAATCGTATGACGTAGGTATTAGACACAGTGAACTATCCCTATATTTTAAATAACCATTCTATAGAGAGTGACAGGTTCTATGACTTACAGATGACGAGCTAGTTAAGATCTCACCATTTGTGGGTTAGCTAATTTATAACGATCCATCGTTACCTTTTATGCCATTATAAGGATAGTTGATGAGTTCCACACAAGATGTTGTAATTGTCAGCTCCTATATTTAATATGTAATCATCGTTTACAGATGGAAAATACTACAAAATCGGTTACTACGACAACAAAAATAACAACTGGACGCTGAATCACAGCTTCGTACGATGGAATGGTGAGAATATGACTTTCAAATGTGGTGTTCTGGTGGTATGTGGTATGAGGTCGTGCCGTAGTATATAATCCATAGTGTAATACAATAGTAAGTGACGTATGAGTAATCTATTCTATGATGTAATTCAATCGTGTATTTCTCTACTTCTCCAAGTTCACATATATATCTATTCATCTATGTATCTATCAATCTAACTACCTGTCTATCTAATAATATAGTCCCAATACATTCACCAAAACACAATAAGCTTCCTGAAGTCTGAAATCTATGAGTTTATGTTTAGTCTTAGATTCGCAGCCTGAGCTCTTGCTTTTTAACCATAGAAGTGTAACAGTTATTTCTTTAAATGGCACCGATTACTACCAAATCTATTGGCCTGGACAACTCCAATCTGTCGAAGGACTGATTTCTAGAGTCTCGATGCTAGATGCTAGATACAGATTCAAATATATCTGTACATGCAATGATTCCCACAATGCAAAAATAGGCAAATATATAAACGACTTAGAAAAAATACCAAAACTCGTGATTAGCCCCATTCAGTTGTAAAGACCTGTGCTAGCCCCATTCAGTTGTAAAGACCTGTGCTAGCCCCATTCAGTTGTAAAGACCTGTGCTAGCCCCATTCAGTTGTAAAGACCTGTGCTAGCCCTTGTTGTTTGATTAATTAAGACATTAGGTCTTATTCAATACTTTTCTTTTTTTTTTGTACTTTGTCATACATTGTACCATGTGCAATTGTCGTGCAATGAAGTCATTCTTCTAATCTCTGGCTGTTGTTTTGGTAGGACCACATCCCCCGTACGACCGCACGCGGGTTGTAGAGGACCTGAGGCTGGTGTCCATGGAGCTGTATGTCGGCATGTGTTCCTCCGCGCTCATCGCCATGCTGGCAGCGTTCGGCTGTCTGGTGTTCAACGTGCTGAACAGGAACGTTAGGTACGGGCTGGGCTGCGGAGGGAATAGAGAGATCTGCTGGTTAGGTGTTGGAGAAATGTTGTGTTTCCGATTACCCGACCGACCCTAGCAAAAACCTACCAACCTAGAATTTTGGGCGGTTGACCACTGGCCAGGTACATAAAATTTCGACCTGACATCATAATCTCCAACCCTTTGAAACGTTACTTCACGCATATTTTCTAACCATTCCTATTCCGTAGATATGTGTTCCTTCTGCAGAAGCAAACGGGGGTACGGGTCAAGCCTGGTCCTGGTGCATTTCAACTTTATATTGTGAGAGAGAGACCTCGATCTGTGAAAATTTGCACTACTGGATCAACAATTGTTATATACTATCTATGTAATACGCAGTCGTGCAAGGTAACTTATTTACACGTAGAAATCTGTACCTTCAGGTACATCGCCATGTCACAGCCGGGTCTGAACAACATCGCCGTCCTGGGGTGCGTCACCTGTCTCTCCTGTATCTTCCTCTTCGGCCTGGACAACTCCAATTTATCGGAGGACCAGTTCACAACTCTCTGTCAGGTAGAAAAACACTTTATTAAAGCTGGCGGTGGGGCCAACATGGGAATTGTCGGTTGGGTATCCTGAGTGCGATGCGACGATGTATGACTCAAATAATTGGTAATTTGTAAATACTGATATTTCATCCAATCGTTTGAGACATTGTCTAACTTGAACAGAAGAAAAATCACTACCTTTGGATATCAACGACAATTTCACGAATTCAACTATTATGTATGTATTTCTTTGGTTATTTCACCTCCTGTCATATACTGTAAAGTGTCCACCAGTTCAGCCTTCATGGCTGGCAACATACAATGATACATTGCCAGCCAATGATAATTCTACCGTTTGCACGATTTCAATAACGTTATATAAAACGATCTCTTGTTACCTCCATGAAAAATGGAGGTATTGTTTTTGGCGGCGTCTGTCTGTGTGTCTGTGTGTCTGTGTGTGTTTCCGCAACTTTGTAGTCAGCATAACTTCATAACGCCTTTATGGATTGTGATGATATTTGGTATGCTGATAAGTCTTAGGAAGACAAAGGTCAAGGTCAAATATAGGCCTCCTGGTGGATGACCTTGGTACTGCAGCAGAACTTCCGGTTTTCGTATCTTTTGTCCTGAACATGCTATGGTCTTGAATTTTTGGTGACAGATAGCTTTTCCTGTTAGGAATAAGTGGTGTGGGTTTGGTCCCCCTAGCAGCTTGTTCAGGAACTGCAGGGGACTTTCGGGCGAAATCTTTGAAAGCCAATAAGTCCAGATAGGAACAGCGTATTTTCATCATTTTTGGTGTGTAGGTATCTGACAGAGAGATGTACATAATTAACTGCAAATTATGCAAATGAGGACTTTATTTGCATAATTAATGAGGAAATTCTATAATTACAGTGTTTTACATTATAGAACTTTCATACATGTAATGTATGTAACCTATGGCAGATGGAACATCAACAGATACTAATTATGCAAATGATGACCTAATTTGCATAATTAATGCAAAAAAATATATGATTTCTCAATGGTGAATGATGGGAATGTCTTACTTGGGACATCTTTAAGTTAATCAAAAGTTAACATCACGATGCATGTATTATGTTAATGCAGAGGTCATTTGCATAATTAAAGAAGAAATTTACGTTTACATATCAAGCCCATATTTCATGGAGGTATGAGATCTCGGAACTCTTGGTTTATTTTGGAGATTATTGATGTTAATCTGATGTTAATTTTGTCCTGTAGGTCAGGACGTGGGTACTTGTGGTTGGCTTCACCCTGGCTGTGGGATCCATGTTCTCCAAAATCTGGCGGGTACACAGGCTCACCACCAGGGCACGGGAGGAGGACAAGGTGCACACTTTGAATACTTATGATGCATGTTTAAACTGTAAAATCTGGTCAGACTGCTCCCAAACAGCAGGCAACCTTGGTTGGTTTGTGGTCGGGAGAGGAGAGTTCTAAATGCATGGTGTGTGTGTATGGCAGCCAGTCTCTGTAAATTGCACACGGCAAAAAATGTCACTCTTGACACACATTTGTTACTGCAAATATAATGCACATATATCCATTTATCGACTCTGTTATTGTGTTTCTGGGCGCATAAAAGCTTACAAGGACGCAAGAGGAGAGTCTGACGCAAATTGCATAGACATTAACAAATAACATAGAACGTATGGTCTATACAACCGACACTTTAAATCATATTGCGATGACAAGATAAAGACATAAAAGCTATAATTCCCAGATTTGTGCCATCATTATTACTCCTGACAACAGATGATTCCTTCCAGGTGGTTGAGGCCTGGAAACTCTATGCTCTACTAGGTCTGTTTTTGGCCATTGACGTCATCATCATGATCGCCTGGCAGTTGACGAACCCCATGACGAGGTAAGTTTTACAAATTACCTGTCAATCATGCAGTAATCTGTTCAACGTTAAAAGGCATATGTGACAGAGCCCATGTCATGATCAATCCTGCGATCGTGTTTACAATTGTTATGGTGAGGTATCGTCGTCTAAATATAAACCACATCATGTCAGGATTCGAACCCGGTACCTCTTGGTTCCGAGTCGAGCACTCTGCCATTACGCCACATGACCCCAAATCTTTATTATTAGTATGTCTCTCTGTTTGTATATTAGGTATCTAGAGGAGTTTCCCCAGGAAGTGCCTGAAGGAAATGACGACATCCTCATCCAGCCCAAACTGGAACACTGCACCTGTGACAACTTCACCATATGGCTTGGTAAGCGTAATTAGTTGTGGATGGTAGTTAGCACATAGACATAGATTTTCTATGTTTATCCAGAAGAATCCTTTGCCTTTTGAAAAATGTGCTAAAGACATAGACTATGGTCAACACACACTCTCACACGTTTTGTGTCTAAAATTGCTGTCTCCTGTGATAACCCCTAGGTGTCCTGTACGGCTACAAGGGTCTCCTACTGCTGTTCGGCGTTTTCCTGGCCTACGAGACACGCGACGTCAACATAAAGGACATCAACGACACGCGATACGTCGGGATGAGCATCTACAATATAGTGGTAAAGCCTATGGGAAAATGTTGTTTCCCGTTACCCCACCTACTCTGGGTGTTGCTAGTTCACTGTGCACTGAAGCTAGGTGTTACTGGTTCACTGTGCACTGAAGTTAGGTGTTACTGGTTCACTGTGCACTAAAGCTAGGTGTTACTGGTTCACTGTGCATTGAGGCTAGGTGTTACCGGTTCACTCTGCACTGAAGCTAGGTGTTCCTGCTAACAAATCGGTCCCAAGCACAAAGTGATTGCGGGAGATTGCCAAATGGGTTCATAAATACAATTAGCAGGATGATAGTGGTACCTGAAAAATAGACTGTCACGTTGAGGTCAATTGTTGCAATGTACTATCCAAGATTGCATTGGTGACCTCTGCCTCTTTGACAGGGGTTATGTACCGATGGTGACCTGTGTGACATCTCCAATAATGGCAGTCCATAATCAAAGGTCTGCACTATCCCATGATCGATACATGGGGTCGGGCAGGTTAATGTAAACATGAGAGCCGACCAAACACTGACAGCCTGTGTCAGAGACAATTAATCGAGTTCTCGTTTTTCAAAGAATTTCATAAGCACTTGGCTTCAGAACCCTTGACATTTGGACTATGTGGATATGTTGAGAATCTCGCTGACCTTTTTCTGCTCCTTGATAAGTGATTGTAACCGGTTGAGACGATACAATTCAAATGCCCATCAACGTTTAGTCAACATATTTGCAAGTCAACACTTTTAACCTTTAACGTTTTCTACCTACTAGGGTGCCTTGGTGGTAGCAGTAACCAATAGAAGGAACGAAATATTCAATCCCTGAATCAATAACACATGTTTAACTTGTAAGGTATCATATTAGACAGGCAAGGTGGCCTTATGGTGCGAGTTGTTTAGTTAGAATCTGAAAGTTCTGGGTTCGAATCCCTGGTGGCAATATCAAATGCTATGCCCTTGGAAAATGCACTTAATACCCATTTCTCTCCCCTGATTTGAGTGAAAATCGGTACCTAGCTTCGGTTACGGACGTCCTCTCGAATGGGGATTCTGTGTTTCTGGAGAGCCAGGCCCCGAACACAATAAAGAACCCACCACACTTATCGAAAACAGTAGGGGTTCATCGCCGTGTGAGAAATAATTCTTACCGTACCAACATCGGACGGCTTGTGAAAATCAAATGAATATCGAATCTGCTGCATCCGCAGGTGTTGTGCCTCATCACGGCGCCAGTCACCATCCTCATCAGCAGTCAGCAGGACGCTACCTTTGCCTTCACGTCTCTGGCGATCCTGTTCTGCACTGTCATCACCCTCGGACTCATCTTCATCCCAAAGGTAGAGTCAATAGAAAAACAAGAAATCACGTACTATTTCAGACTTCCAAGAATTTTTTTTTTGGGGGGGGGGGGGTCGTCAATTTATTGGAACGGTGGGGGTATTGCATGATGCAAGTGGTGTATAATGTCGTCAAATATTACACCATCGAACTCCTTCATTTACTGCCACACGGTCTTTTGACCCCCTCCCAATTGGCTGGTCATTCACAAAATAGTTTTCGAACTTGATTTAGGTTGATAATAAGACCGTTGTTAAGCATTTTTACATTCTCTTTTACATCTTGTTTATTACCTTTACAATGGCACTCCTTAGATATTTGGTCTGATTGTTAGTTGGGGAAACGAGCACCAAGCCTGATTACTTGCACAACCGTATCCTCTTTGTGTTTATTATTACCGCTGTGTCTCATACAATTAAAACACGCATTTATTGCCCTTTAAAAGAAGACATCATTTGAAATGGCTACGCTGAAGGTTGTCCAACGAGCACCATATTTGATTATTTACCACTCCCCTTTGTACTATAAGGGCAAAAAGACGTGGTCCATATGAGGTCAAAGTTCAAGGTCAGATAGCAAGGTCAAAGCTACCGATGTGCAACGGCTATCATATCAAAAATATTCCAGACACCCAACTTTTCAAAAACCATGATGAGAATTAGCCACCTCAGGTGGTACCGATATCTCCTCTGGCCCATGGACTAATTAACTTAATTCAAACTTTCAAGGAACAAGCAATGGAGATCTGATCGATCGAACTTGTTACTTTCGAGACGAAAGCATTATTTTGGGCGGCGTATGTATTTATCGTTTCCTCAGCAACGAGGATTGAACGTGAGTGGGCGAAGATGGGGTTCAATTGATTGGAGGCGTTGTGACATGGTACTCCCGGGTGGTAGATGTGGTATGAGGTCGCCATGAATGTTCTGTGTATAAAGTAAGCGTTGTTGTGTTCTCTTGTGTTATGTTGGAATACAATTCAGGCATCTTTGTTGAGCCCGTAACAATGTTGATAACAAATGATAAAACTTCACATTGGACGTTTATTACAACAGATCATGAACTACAAACAGAAGAGCATAGAGGAAACCTCCCAGCCTCTCCAAACTCCTGGAGTGACGCAGGAAGAAGAGGAGAAACAGAAAAGACTCCAGGAGGAAAACGACACGATGAAGAAGCAGATATCACAGGTAAAAGAGAGTAATAAAAATTTTGTACCAACTCTTGGTAAACTCCAAAATTTGCCATGAAGAAGTCAATACTCTCTTAGAATGGCTGGTTTGCGTGTAATAGATGTTTTAACAAGTCTTATTTGCTTGCTGATAAAATGCAGAAGGAGGAACGCATCCGCGAACTTCAGAAGAGTTTGAAAGAGCTCCTGAAAGAGGGACAGAAGATGACAACCACCTTCCTTGCGCCCCCTGGCGTCGGTAGACTGCGCTCCACTGGCAACAATGTTGGACGCTTCTCTTCTTCATCGATGGTATCATCAAGGTACGAAAGATTATTCGGAAAATATTTTACACAAGAGTATTTTCCATATGTTAAACACAAGTCAAAATGTATGGTTGCTAGATTCTCGTCAACTTTAAAGGCATCCAGTGCAATTACAGGGCATCAAAACTATATTTTCAATTTTCTGACCATTCTTTTAATGTAGCAGGTTTTGACAATTCAATCCATAGCATACCGATATCTGTGAGGTAAAAATGCAATGTCAATTTCGTAGCATAGGTTGATTCTAGCTATTTGTGTGCGGTACCCAAAAAGAGACGCCTCATGTAGCTTGTTTTGGGGCAATTTCAAATACTTCCAGTATGAAATGATGACAGAAATTTGCATAGGAATTGGAAGTAAATTCCACTTAAGGCAGATTTCCTCACCCAGAATATGTTTGTTTTGCCGCTCTGAAATTGCATTAGATGTCTTTAAAAATGACAAAATGACAAATTAGCCCTGCTCCAGGGAGTAGTGTAACTGTGTGCTGTACAATGTCTGTCTAAGTGTTTTATGTCTGATACTTTACAGCGTCGTGTCAAGCTATGTTTCCAGCGCTGCAGAAGTATTCGAGGAAGTATTGGACACCCCTCCCCCTAAGTAAGCACTGGCCACTTCCAATGACATGTACAATATGCGTCATGACGTCATACAGTTGCTACTTCCGGGACGGAAGTATTGGTTTGGGTGGCACTGCTTTAAGGGGTGTTTGTATGTTTCGTTTCTAGAGTGGCAACGGTGGTTTTCACAGTTGATTTATTAATAGGTTATGGTTGAAGCTGGTCGGGTTTTAGTATTTAAATGTGTAATACTAATAGTTGTTCAAGAAATCAAACGAAAATTAACGGCTTAAATTTTTGCCCTTCCTCCTCACTTTTGCCCCTTGACCTTTCAAAACTTCCCGTTAGGAAAGGGTCAAATGTGTGTCACCCTAACTGGCTAAGCAAAGTTTGATATTCTTTCTTTTCGTCTCTCTAAGTTGACTAAGTCACGAGAAAATTGTCCCTTTCCACGTATAACCGCACGTTTTCGAAAACATGCCTAGGGCCTTTAAATCGGAAGTATTGTTTTGGTTGCGTAAGATCATGATTGGTTTGTATATTTGGGTTCCAAAGTAAGTTTGAGGAGATTGGGTTTCCCTTGATTGACAGGGTTTTTATCCGGTATACCCTGGGTTCAAGGACGTGGTCGCCATGCCATGAATGTATGAAACATAAACCAAGATGCATCATAAAAGAGGAGTTTCCCCATACAATGTGTAATAATGAATTGCGATTTAACGCAAAACTATGTCCACTTCCGGAAGTTTAAAATCAATGATTCCTTGCTAACACTGTGCTCACTTCCTTACTCTTCAACCGTACCTGTAGATATCGGGGGAAAGCACCTTCGATCAGCTTCGATGTTGGGGACGAGACCATCGAACGTGTGCCTGATCACGTGACGCTGCCCACCGTCAAGGTGACCTTGTCGGAAGAACCGGCGGAAGATGGCGGCCAGTTTGAGTCCTTCTTGTGACACGCCCTGTGGCCGGTTTGTCTTGGAGCAAGCGAGCGAGGAAGAAAACGATAAAGGCACCCAATGCAATTTCAGGGCATCAAAACAAAACAAATATTCTGGATGAGGATATATGTCTGATATTGACATCTGCTGTGCAATTTCTTAGCACATTTTTGTCATCAGTTTGCACTTGAAGCATTTGAAATAGCCCAAAAGAAGCTACTTAGGGCGTCTCGTTATTGGGGGCACCACCCATAAATAGCTTGAACCAGCTTATCAGTATGGGGTGGGATTAATACATTAAAAGAATGACTAGAAAATGGACTCTGGAAATCCATTTTTGCCGCCTTGAATTTGAATTGGATGTCATTGGATGACACTAAATACACCAGTTTCAGTTGGAACAACCATAATAAGTTTTTTCAATGAACAAAGGTGTTTGTACATAGAAAGTACATAACCTTTCCTATCGTGACTACATATGATTGTAGGTTATAACTTTTCGCTTTGTTTACTTTTTGAAAGAACGTTTTTCACGAGCCGTGGTGCCAGGTTCTGAACCAGCTGCCATGTTCACTGTTGGCAGAATTCTATTGATCAGAAATCAAGGACTGGCCCTAGCTGGAGGTATGATTTTTTCATGGTTCGATATGTTCAATACCTTTAGAAGAGTGTATATTTTGTGTAAATATTTATGTTAATCGATAATACTATTAATGATAAGACAGTTTGTATTTTAGTGTCATTAAACACTTTTAAGAAGGGTCCGAGCGCAGTACAAAAAGGCTGTAGCTGACCTAAAGT